GGAACCAAGCGACAGTCGCTGGATCTTGCGTCGTCCGATTACTCGCAGGCGGAAAAGAGCGGCAAGTACATGTCGCAGCAGCACCACCGAGGATTTGTTGGCGGCAGCAGCGGTAGCGAGGAGTTGGAGCGATACCACGAATCGAACGGTAGTGCATCTTTCTCGAACCGTGGCGAGATGGAGACCCGTTCTGAGCGCACGCCATCCGGCTTTGCGTTGATAGGCAGTCAGATCGAAGTGCGGCGAGGGAACAAAACTTACACCGGTACCGTGCGGTTCGTTCGGCGCGGGGTCGGTTACAAGGTCGAATTCGAGGGTGGACGGTTCGAATGGGTGACTGAAGACCAGATCGGCTTCAAGCAGAACGATGTCCCGGGCACGGTTAATGCCGCTGAGGATGTACAGAAAAAGCGAGATCACGAATACCTGACGGGCAGTATGGATGCTTCGCCTGCCAGGTGCAGCTCAGGTTTTCAGTCATGTCGTCCTGTCGGCGCTTCAGGGATTGCTTCTGCCGTAACGTGCCAGTGACATGATGTGCATGTAGTAAATTTGATGCATGTTGTTTAGGGCGGCTCCCCCTATGTCACTGATCGCCACTTCCCAGGAAAAGAAAGCCACGACGCTGGTGACGTGGATTTCTCTTGCCCCATTTGCAATCAGAAGGTATATAATAAAGAACCGTCATACATCGTCATACGAATACCGGCTTGCCAGCGATGTGCGGAAAGCAAAATTTTGGTACTCGACGATAACTGAACTTGTGTTGTGTACCAGTGTTTGTTTGGCGGCACTCATCTGCCTTGGATATTTTAGTGAATGCACTATATTGTGAACAAATTTTTGTCTTGTGTAAAGTGAAATACTTATCTTTGGTTTGTTGATGACAGCCGACAAGAAATGTATGTTAAATTTAGAGGGAACAATCAATCAAATCTGTCTGTTTGAGCTCCGGCAGCTATTAATAGCACAGGACAGCATAAGCACGCCCAATTCCCATCTATACGCCCTACACAGCGTGCAAATTTATCGGTTTATTTCTTAAGATAGAGTGTTTCATTCGTGCGTTGATGATCATAAAGTAATAGCGTAAAACGGTTTGTTTATACATAACGCTAAACGATATAGTGGTCAATCCGTTGACTTACCGATGCCACATTTTGGCCCGTATCGCTCGGGCCATCTGGCTTCAAAACTGTCGACTGTTGCGGACGAACAATCACATTCACGAAACTACCGTCAACATACCTTGAAGAAGGCTTGTGAGATGGGTCAAAGCATCGCTATTGGTCTGTTACCGGACTGAGCACAGTGTACCTTATAAATAAACTATTCTCCATTGTTTTTCCATTCATTTCTAGATATCATCTATCTTTCCATTGACAGAATCTTCTGTTAGTCATGATCATAGGTCGTCATTCGATGCGTTAGAGAGTGCATCACCATCATATGCTCGCGGTCGATGGTAGCTGTTGTTCAGATTAGAAGAACGGTTGGTTATTCTTGTTATGTTATTCTTATGCTTTCTTGCTTTGGGGCAGCAAGACGTAAAACTTAGTAGATCAGCCTCGTCCTTTCAGCGTGAGTAGGTACTTCATTGTGAATCAGAAGTTGCCATTGGCTTTCACGGAGGTAAACCTGTTTCCGGACCACCTGTTAGTAGCGCTGCTTCCGTGCCATTGGATTGTTACCGAAATCTGTTAGGTTTTATTATAATCCACCTGAACTTCGTTGGCTGACCGTTTGTGGGTTCATGGCAGGTTTCCAAGTGGATAGCGGTTAAGTGGATCAAGCCTCACCGCACTTGACTCTATCAGTCAATCCCGTACGTGATCATTTTGCGCTACATGCTACAGGGACGAGGGGAGAGTTTTTAGGGATCGAAACTTTCGCAAAGTGTGCGGTATGCTGAAGATATTAACACGGATGATGCTCCTTAATCTTTCAATTCGTCTTTCTTTTACCTCAGAGAATCCTTTTATAAACCATGAGTACTGAAAATTCTGATAGCATAATGACGCCAAGGCGTATATTTTATTGTACTTTGATCATTACTTTGTCCATTCTTTGCAGTAGGGAAGTTGGGGCTGGCTCTCAGAAATCTATGTAAGCCAAGGATATAACAGCAGTGGCCTTCGATTGTCACCACAGTTGTTGATCAAAGTTATTTGTTTTGCACTCACAGGAGGTATAACGCCAGTACGTAAAAACGTGGTTATGCAAGGTTGAGTCATGTACCCGTTTTAGGCTACCCATTTGAGGAGCTGTAAAGAAGACCGTAACTCTTTTCCTTTAATATCCGTTATTCATGAATAGTTGATTAGTTCAGGTATCTGAATTTATGACGGAAGCGGTGTAGGTGTATTTCAGGCTGTTAGATACTCTATAGTAAACTTCTGCACCCCAACTTATCTTTAAGAATTCAACCAAAGGAGGACCGAATGTTATGTTGTTATGCATACCTCCACGTATGAGTCACAAATATCTTCACATTAAATTTTTGGTCTACTAAAAATGGGCCAACTGACAATGTTCATATTAAAGAAGCAACCCAGATAAGGCGTTGAATATCATCTACATAGTCGATTACAAAGGTGGCGATTTTATTTACATTGGCAAGACCCATCAATAGTTCAACGTTCGAATAACGAAAACAGTAGTCTGTAGCCTGCCCTTGGAAGCCTCACAATTTCGCCATTGCGTTACGCGTCATTTTAGGGGAATTCATTGAGGCTGGCTTACGAAGCCGCATTCTACGGTGATTACTCAATTTCGTTTTCTGATAATTCCGTACCTTCATATTTAGCATACGTACCGACATACGTGCGGTTCCATTCTTGGAAACGAAAGCTTTGGCCATATCACGAGCTTAGATCGAACTGACGCCCTATGGTAGATCGTGCCTCGAAATTTGAAATGTTGCTGACGATTCTTTCAGAGACTCGCATTCTAATTTAATATTTCATATTCCTTTCAGTTTTGCGCTGATAATGCAGCTGGTTTAGTAACAAAATGCGTAACTAATAGGAAACTGTTACATCTACTTGCTAAGTAACGAGCTATGGATTGTCAAATTTGTTAGTTGCATTTTACATTGAATTACGTTTCACAAGTAGATTTTTTCTCAGTGCGTAAACTGGGTCTATGTAAACTTCAACCGGTTCTCAAAGATATCACCGAAGTAAGTCCACAGTCATGTATGAATATGGGAACTATTGATAGATCAAACTGTAGGATGATGTCTATAAAACGATTTTAGCTTATCCTCCCTGGCCCCTGCACCGAACCGAGCACAATGGTTGCAAAGTTTGTATCCTCTGTGCCGCTTAACATTTTCGTTAGGTGCATACTTCATGCCTCTTTGACGTGTCTATGCAGCTAGTGCATTCTAATCACTCGGAAACGACGTTTCTCTGCTGCGTTTCTCGATCACCAGCGCCTGGTCCCATTTCTCTTAGACTTGGTTGGATCGAGGATTTTTCTTGCCAAGAAAAATGAGTATATGAGTAACATGGAACACAGTCAGTTAGGAATAAGGACTCAATCATCAAGCTGGAAAAGATTATCACGAAAGAACGCAAACGCCATGCGGTAACAAAGAGTAGACACGCATCATTAAGGATAGACATCCGACTGAACCGACACGTTGAAGGCATTATTTGTCCAACCTTGCGAAGCTCTTAACCAAGACAAAAGACACGAACCTTGCCCTGATCGGACAGGTGTCGCATCTGCTACCAAAAACTACTTACAGCACACAGCAGCATGGGCAAAAATCTCACCTGTTCTAAACGTTACAGCAGCGGAAATCAACCCTAACCACCATTCAAGAAGGCCCGTAAAACACGAACTGAAACATCGATACTTGTTAACCACCTATTGAGCAGTTTGTCAGCGTAGTGTATAAATAAACCGTTTTTGTAAATTTTTTATCTCAGGTAAATCAGAATTCATATTGGTATCATGATTACATAATGAACCCTCAAATTCAAGCTGAACTTGCTCAATTACTTTTCATGTACAATTTGATGATCAGTTTCATATATATGTAATCTCATCAATGCATCAAGAACGTGAACCGAGTTATATCATATCTCTTATGGTAAGCATATATTCCCGGATGATGACTTATGTCATTTCGACGAAACGTCGGACCAGATAAATAAATCTGTTCTTATATTTACCATAGAACCAGAAAATGCACGCGACTTCTTTGGTGAAGTTATAGACTATTGTGACAATACAATTTACCGCTGAATGGATAGCAGCTAACTCACATAAAAAATGAGCGCAGGCAGAGGATCTCATACAATCGCTTTTTCTCCCAGTCGATGAGTTTCATTAGTTTATCTTCGATTAGGTTTCTGCAGTTGGCCAGGAAGACTTCGTTACACCATAGTATAACATCACAGAATAACAATGTAACTGACAAACGTTTTGGATTTTTCCATACCGCCAGTGTACCGAACAGTAGACCGACAGCGCTCCTACAAAAACAGACGATATAAAAGTAATGCAGCAAAAATGGCTGATCGGCACGTGGAGCGGTATTATATTTAATACATATGAAAGAACAACGACAGAAAAGTTTCGTCGAAATGAATTTCTGGCGCAGCAGCGAATATTTTTTCTCCATATCTGGCAACCTGCTGAAGATAAAATATAAAAACTAATTAGTACTGATTATAAATTTATGAACTTTTAGCTCTGACAGCGCTAGCACAAACTCTGAAAACAATAAATGCATCTCAGGGCACAAATCATACTTAAATTGAAGGAATCTGAGTTTGCAATTTGGTTATACTTTTGCCAACGAATTTAAAGCAAACAATAAGTCACATACATGACACACGTATCAGATCAATGGAGGGTAAATCTGAAAAAAAATGAGTCATCGACAGCACCGGCACGCTTTGAAAATGCTCCAAGAAAAGTAGGTGAAATACATACTGCATGTTTAACCGACCAATCGAAGACTCTGAGGACGGCTAAGAATGGCCGGAAGTACATGCATCTGTTAATGAGTTAAGTTTTCGTTTGCCAAAGCTCAGATGAAGGCATAGGATATAAAACGCTGCAGACGCAGTGCGAATCTATTGTCTCTGTGATCCGAAAGAATAGGCGGTCATCGAATCTGACTGACTGTCTCACAGGACTGGAAGAGCCGATTTTCTTCATGTGAACGAAAAAGTAAAGGCTCTGCTTTAAAGATGGGCTCATAAAGTTTGCCAAATATTATAACAACATAAGATACAGCTGCAGAACCAATCTTTTGGCTAAAACACTGCTGAAAAAAGAACATTCATTATCACTGCGATGTGAGTATCTCCTATATTTCCATGGTGGGCGTTACCTGTCACTTTTTTACTTTGGTTAACTGTTTCTGTGCCATCAACTAAGTGCCCCATTTTAAAAGGCAATTTGACATATATGGCTCTTGAAGATGAGTCCTGGGAGTTTAAAACGCCCGACAGTTTGTGAATATTATAACTTGCGAAATTAACCCATGAAAGGAAGGCAAAAGACCGCCTCGATGATGTACAGTGCATAGAATTTTAACAGAAGTTTTAAAACTGTCAAACAACATTCTTTAACTAAACAGTAAATAGAATGAGAAAACGGTTGGCCGTTGTGCTGTTCTTTGATAAATATAAATGACAGACCCCCATAAAGGAAAAGTCTGTCTTTCTACATATCATCGTGAAATCTCTACAGACGGAGAGGTATAAACCATTAATTGCATAACAGCATCATAATTT